GTGCGTGTGTTTTGTGTGTGTATATTATAAGGAGGGTGGTGACATGGCGTGGTTATGTGGCTGGGTTAGTTGGATGAGTAATGGTAATGTCCATAATACTCTTAATGAATGTATAATTTGGCTTTTTTTAGCCATTAGGCCATACGATCTAATGGTCACGGTTTACGTTGAGGGGAGTGAAAAGACACCGTTCCAAGAGCTAACAACTATCCGTGCTTCCTATTTCTTTCACTGAGCACCATTCTCACTGGAACGTGACCCTATACATATATATATTGATTATACAAATAAACTGATATAGGAATAATTGAAATAACATTTATAAGCCAATAAAAATTAAGAAACATAAATTAAATACTTAAGAAACAAAATTAAATACTTAAGAAACAAAATACTAAAATACCAATTTCAGTCTACATGTATTAAGTTTGAAATTTGATGCACATATTTTTTACTTTATTTATCGACAAAGTAAATCCCAACATTTCATTTGTTTGTAAAATAAGTGCGATTGTGATCAAAGAATAACGTACTAGATAGATCATTTTTTGTAAAGTTATAAATAAGCTCAATAATCATTAATGTTCAAGTAAATAACAAAATACTTAGGGGGTGATTGGATATGAATTCAACTAGTAAAAAACTAGTTTTTTTTTTTGTTTTTTTAACTATAGTTAAATTTGAAAAAAAGTAGTATGGTTAGTTGTTAGTGGATATATTAAAATAATATTTAAATTCAAATAATTAAAATTGATTTGATGTAAAAGTAGGAGAAAATGATTGGAAGTGATGGTTAGTTAAAATTATTTGACTGGATGAATAGTGAATTAAAGTTGATGTGAGGTGTAATAATGATTGGTTGATATTATTTAATTATATTAATAATATTAGAGATAGTGGAGTTGAGTTAAATTTGAGTTTTGAATGAGATATTTTTTGTACAAATTGTATACAATCACGCCCTTATTTACTGTACGTTGATAAAAAATTATATAAAATATTAAGACACAAACATTTAAGTTAATTATTAAAATTCTAAAAAATGAAATCATTTTGATAAAGTAACTGTTGATATCCGAGTTGGGCCTATGTAAAAGTCTCGGTTCGGAAACAAGGAACCGGGGGAAAACGACCTAACCACCCAGATCGCTCTCCGAGTGACTTCTGAAGTGTCAGACTGACCGGGGAGCTAAGTCAACGAGGGCAACACCATCTCTGAGATCAGCACTCTGACCACCAAGTGGCGAGGCCGACCTGGGAATATGCCGAACAGAGGAACGTGGTCCTGGAGTCTAGGGGATGAACTAATGGTTAAAGTCCGATCTGAAGTTTCCCTCAAGTCGGCCTATGTACGAGTCGAAGATCTGGAAAACAATTAAATAATGTCACTTGACTGCTAATAATTGCCGATGGGATGTGTCAATCTAGCCTGCAGGCCTACGACGTCTAGCCCGACCTAAAGGTCTGTCTGCATTTAATGCAGCCCATACATGCATTTAATGCCTGACAAGTAGTGATTGAAGAAACCTCAAATCGCACCAATCTGTCAGAGCGACGCCGACATGTCCCGTGGAGCTACTGTGCCACGGGACAGGTGAACAGTGAATGAATAGTATTGAATTAAAGGCTACTATAAATAGAAGACCCCTCTCATTAATTTTAGGTTGTTGAAACCATCTACTACTTTCTTCTCTCTATATTTTCTCTCTCTAATATGTAATAAATTCCCGTAATGACGCTAAGTGTAACAAAAGTGCCGACCTGTAGCGCCCCGTCCGAATATTGGATTTTTTCGATTATTTTTTATTGGCATTATTATTATTATTTGAATTAATTGTCTATATTGTATTATTGCTCCACATTTTTCCGTTTAGATTTATTATTTTTTATATAGATGTAGTCTAATTAATATAATAAGTCGTGTAATTTTATTTGTCGTAAATCGAATCGATCGGGAATGTTTGTTATCGCGTTTTTCTCATCGAGCCGTTATTCTCAATCGAGTTTTGAATTTGATAATCGGGTCAATTTATCGGGAGTATTTTCGGTCCATTCGGATAATGTCATTTTAGCCTTTGGTGTGCTTTTAAATTCAGCCCAAACGATTTAATTTTTTGCCCATTTATTTTGTAAGTTTGGCTCACTTGGAAATTCTTTTTCCTTAATATGATTACGTATAATTAATTGAAATTAGTATTTTAACATGTAATATTTTATTATTTTTAATCTAAAAAAAATATTAATTTTACTTGCACATCAATGGTACGTAAATTGCACTTTAATGGTAATTAAATTGCACGTTAATGTTATGAAAATTGCACATTGATATTCTTATCTAACATCTTTATTTATTTTGATTGAAAAAATAATATTTTAAAAAAAAAATATAAAAAAAATAATATTTTTTATATAGTTTTCCCGTATTGATACATTCAAAAATATAGATGAATAGTATTATTTATTCATTAAATAATATAAATATAAATAGTAATAAAACAATTGGTAATATTTTTTTTCATATAATTCGGGATGTTCAGTTATTTTATTTATTTAAAAAGACTAAATTCGACATTTAATCAACTAATATTATTCGATTAGCAAAATTACTGAATTTTTAGTACGTGTATCGTGTCGTTTTATATGGTGCAACATGTTGTGTTATAAAGTGAATTACATTGTTATATAAAGTGCAACGTATTGATATATAAAATGCTAAACTGAAATTTGGTACGTTAGCATGCTTGTGTTTTTTTGTGTATAGTTGATGTGATGAATATTAAAGTATTATGTAGATCTGTTTTTCTAAATTTAAATTGCGTAATATTTTTGATTGGAAGTGTCGACATTAATTGTGTAGTGTGGTGATAATGTGCAACGTTTTGTTTTATATAGTGCAACGTCCTGTTACGTAATGTGCAACGTGATGATATATAAAGTGCACTACTTTATATGATTACGTATAAATTATGTGTTTTTTGAAAACTAGCTTTAATATATATAATTGTACATCGAATTAACCATAATTGTTTAAATAAGTTATTATTTATTACTATAAAATTTTATTTATTATTTTAATATTTTTTATATATTAAATTTGAGATATTAAAAATTTTAAACGTTGTACACCTTATTTATCATTAATATGCATTTATGAGTATATTGCTATAAATTAAATATTTGGTCATGAACTTAATTAGAAAAATACTCAAAATTAATAAAATCGCAAGATTGTCCCTCAACACTATCTAATTTTTTTACTTTTCTTTTGAAAAAAAGACAATGAAATCCTAAATCCCTAATTTGAATTTCCAAATTTATTACAAATTTATATTTTAAAAATATATTGAAGATTTTAATATTTTTATAAAAAAATTATATATTATTATTTTTATTTATAATCAAAATTATATATATACATATATGTTAAAGAAATATATACAAAATAATATGTTTTGATATATTTTCTATAAATTACAGATTTAGCCCGCAAACTAAATTGGAATAAAGTTAAATATTTATGAATCCACACATTGACCCCAATGGTTTAATTGTAAATAACTAACGGTCTTAAAATTTGCAAATCAATCCTTGTAACTTGTCAAATTTTCAAACACTAGTCCTCTGCCCACAAATAAGCTCCCGATCCATTCAGCCACCGGCAGCGGACTTCCGCCTGCCGCATCGCCCCAGTCGCTCATCTCTCGCCGGTGAGGAAGCCTATGAGTCATCGTCGGCGGGGAAGGCGAGCAGGAGGTTGCTATAATTTTTTTATTTTTTTATTTTTTTTGTTACGGATTGTAACGACGGCGCGAGAACCTGCTTGAAGTGGAGGTTGTGGGTGGCACTAGATGGGCCACCGGAGAGAATTCCGGGGGCTATGTCAGGTCGGTGGGTGTGTGTATTGCAGGGGAAGAGTTGTGGACGGCGCATCTGGCGTCTGTGGCAGTGGCGGGATGCTTGGCGTTGGCGGCGGAGAAGTGGTCGCCGGCGGGAGGGGCGGCAAGTTGTTCGCCGGCGGGAAAGACGCCAGATGTCGCATGTACCCGGTGGTGTGTGTATGTGTGTGTATATGTGTGTGTGTGTGTGTGTGTGTCAGGGTGTGTATTTTGCATGTGTTGTGTGTGTGTGTGTGTGCGTGTGTTTTGTGTGTGTATATTATAAGGAGGGTGGTGACATGGCGTGGTTATGTGGCTGGGTTAGTTGGATGAGTAATGGTAATGTCCATAATACTCTTAATGAATGTATAATTTGGCTTTTTTAGCCATTAGGCCATACGATCTAATGGTCACGGTTTACGTTGAGGGGAGTGAAAAGACACCGTTCCAAGAGCTAACAACTATCCGTGCTTCCTATTTCTTTCACTGAGCACCATTCTCACTGGAACGTGACCCTATACATATATATATTGATTATACAAATAAACTGATATAGGAATAATTGAAATAACATTTATAAGCCAATAAAAATTAAGAAACATAAATTAAATACTTAAGAAACAAAATTAAATACTTAAGAAACAAAATACTAAAATACCAATTTCAGTCTACATGTATTAAGTTTGAAATCTGATGCACATATTTTTTACTTTATTTATCGACAAAGTAAATCCCAACATTTCATTTGTTTGTAAAATAAGTGCGATTGTGATCAAAGAATAACGTACTAGATAGATCATTTTTTGTAAAGTTATAAATAAGCTCAATAATCATTAATGTTCAAGTAAATAACAAAATACTTAGGGGGTGATTGGATATGAATTCAACTAGTAAAAAACTAGTTTTTTTTTTTTGTTTTTATAACTATAGTTAAATTTGAAAAAAAGTAGTATGGATAGTTGTTAGTGGATATATTAAAATAATATTTAAATTCAAATAATTAAAATTGATTTGATGTAAAAGTAGGAGAAAATGATTGGAAGTGATGGTTAGTTAAAATTATGTGATTGGGTGAATAGTGAATTAAAGTTGATGTGAGGTGTAATAATGATTGGTTGATATTATTTAATTATATTGATAATATTGGAGATAGTGGAGTTGAGTTAAATTTTAATTTTGAGTGGGATATTTACTGGACAAATTATATACAATCACGCCCTTATTTACTGTACATTGATAAAATTTTTATAAAATATTAAGACACAAACATTTAAGTTAATTATTAAAATTCTAAAAGAATGAAATCATTTTTATAAAGTAACTGTTGATATCCGAGTTGGGCCTATGTAAAAGTCCCGGTTCGGAAACAAGGAACCGGGGGAAAACGACCTAACCACCCAGATCGCTCTCCAAGTGACTTCTGAAGTGTCAGACTGACTGGGGAGCTATGTCAACGAGGACGACAAGCAACATCATCTCTGAGATCAGCACCCTGACCACCAAGTGGCGAGGCCGACCTGGGAATATGCCGAACAGAGGAACGTGGTCCCGGAGTCTAGGGGATGAACTAATGGTTAAAGTCCGATCTGAAGTTTCCCTCAAGTCGGCCTATGTACGAGTCGAAGATCTGGAAAACAATTAAATAATGTCACTTGACTGCTAATAATTGCCGATGGGATGTGTCATTCTAGCCTGCAGCCCTACGACGTCTAGCCCGACCTAAAGGTCTGTCTGCATTTAATGCAGCCCATACATGCATTTAATGCCTGACAAGTAGTGATTGAAGAAAACCTCAAATCGCACCAATCTGTCAGAGCGACGCCGACATGTCCCGTGGAGCTACTGTGCGACGGGACAGGATGAACAGTGAATGAATAGTATTGAATTAAAGGCTACTATAAATAGAAGACCCCTCTAATTTATTTTAGGTTGTTGAAACCATCAACTACTTTCTTCTCTCTATATTTTCTCTCTCTAATATGTAATAAATTCCCGTAATGACGCTAAGTGTAACAAAAGTGCCAACCTGTAGCGCCCCGTCCGAATATTGGATTTTTTCGATTATTTTTTATTGGCATTATTATTATTATTTGAATTAATTGTCTATATTGTATTATTGCTCCACATTTTTCCGTTTAGATTTATTATTATTTATATAGATGTAGTCTAATTAATATATAAGTCGTGTAATTTTATTTGTCTTAAATCGAATCGATCGGGAATGTTTGTTATCGTGTTTTTCTCATCGAGCCGTTATTCTCAATCGAGTTTTGAATTTGATAATCGGGTCAATTTATTGGGAGTATTTTCGGTCCATTCGGATAATGTCATTTCAGCCTTTGGTGTGCTTTTAAATTCAGCCCAAACGATTTAATTTTTTTCCCATTTATTTTGTAAGTTTGGCTCACTTGGAAATTCTTTTTCCTTAATATGATTACGTATAATTAATTGAAACTAGTATTTTAACATGTAATATTTTATTATTTTTAATCTAAAAAAAATATTATTTTTACTTGCACATCAATGGTATGTAAATTGCACTTTAATGGTAATTAAATTGCACGTTAATGTTATGAAAATTGCACATTGATATTCTTATCTAACATCTTTATTTATTTTGATTGAAAAAATAATATTTTAAAAAAAATATAAAAAAATAATATTTTTTATATAGTTTTCCCGTATTGATACATTCAAAAATATAGATGAATAGTATTATTTTTTCATAAAATAATATAAATATAAATAGTAATAAAACAATTGGTAATATTTTTTTTCATATAATTCGGGATGTTTAGTTATTTTATTTATTTAAAAAGACTAAATTCGACATTTAATCAACTAATATTATTCGATTAGCAAAATTACTGAATTTTTAGTACGTGCATCGTGTCGTTTTATATGGTGCAACATGTTGTGTTATCAAGTGAATTATATTGTTATATAAAGTGCAACGTATTGATATATAAAATGCTAAACTGAAATTTGGTACGTTAGCATGCTTGTGTTTTTTTGTGTATAGTTGATGTGATGAATATTAAAGTATTATGTAGATCTGTTTTTCTAAATTTATATTGCGTAATATTTTTGATTGGAAGTGTCGACATTAATTGTGTAGTGTGGTGATAATGTGCAACGTTTTGTTTTATATAGTGCAACGTCCTGTTACGTAATGTGCAACGTGATGATATATAAAGTGCACTACTTTATATGATTACGTATAAATTATGTGTTTTTTGAAAACTAGCTTTAATAGATATAATTGTACATCGAATTAACCATAATTGTTTAAATAAGTTATTATTTATTACTATAAAATTTTATTTATTATTTTAATATTTTTTATATATTAAATTTGAGATATTAAAAATTTTAAACGTTGTACACCTTATTTATCATTAATATGCATTTATGAGTATATTGCTATAAATTAAATATTTGGTCATGAACTTAATTAGAAAAATACTCAAAATTAATAAAATCGCAAGATTGTCCCTCAACACTATCTAATTTTTTTACTTTTCTTTTGAAAAAAAGACAATGAAATCCTAAATCCCTAATTTGAATTTCCAAATTTATTACAAATTTATATTTTAAAAATATATTGAAGATTTTAATATTTTTATAAAAAAATTATATATTATTATTTTTATTTATAATCAAAATTATATATATACATATATGTTAAAGAAATATATACAAAATAATATGTTTTGATATATTTTCTATAAATTACAGATTTAGCCCGCAAACTAAATTGGAATAAAGTTAAATATTTATGAATCCACACATTGACCCCAATGGTTTAATTGTAAATAACTAACGGTCTTAAAATTTGCAAATCAATCCTTGTAACTTGTCAAATTTTCAAACACTAGTCCTCTGCCCACAAATAAGCTCCCGATCCATTCAGCCACCGGCAGCGGACTTCCGCCTGCCGCATCGCCCCAGTCGCTCATCTCTCGCCGGTGAGGAAGCCTATGAGTCATCGTCGGCGGGGAAGGCGAGCAGGAGGTTGCTATAATTTTTTTATTTTTTTATTTTTTTTGTTACGGATTGTAACGACGGCGCGAGAACCTGCTTGAAGTGGAGGTTGTGGGTGGCACTAGATGGGCCACCGGAGAGAATTCCGGGGGCTATGTCAGGTCGGTGGGTGTGTGTATTGCAGGGGAAGAGTTGTGGACGGCGCATCTGGCGTCTGTGGCAGTGGCGGGATGCTTGGCGTTGGCGGCGGAGAAGTGGTCGCCGGCGGGAGGGGCGGCAAGTTGTTCGCCGGCGGGAAAGACGCCAGATGTCGCATGTACCCGGTGGTGTGTGTATGTGTGTGTATATGTGTGTGTGTGTGTGTGTGTGTCAGGGTGTGTATTTTGCATGTGTTGTGTGTGTGTGTGTGTGCGTGTGTTTTGTGTGTGTATATTATAAGGAGGGTGGTGACATGGCGTGGTTATGTGGCTGGGTTAGTTGGATGAGTAATGGTAATGTCCATAATACTCTTAATGAATGTATAATTTGGCTTTTTTAGCCATTAGGCCATACGATCTAATGGTCACGGTTTACGTTGAGGGGAGTGAAAAGACACCGTTCCAAGAGCTAACAACTATCCGTGCTTCCTATTTCTTTCACTGAGCACCATTCTCACTGGAACGTGACCCTATACATATATATATTGATTATACAAATAAACTGATATAGGAATAATTGAAATAACATTTATAAGCCAATAAAAATTAAGAAACATAAATTAAATACTTAAGAAACAAAATTAAATACTTAAGAAACAAAATACTAAAATACCAATTTCAGTCTACATGTATTAAGTTTGAAATCTGATGCACATATTTTTTACTTTATTTATCGACAAAGTAAATCCCAACATTTCATTTGTTTGTAAAATAAGTGCGATTGTGATCAAAGAATAACGTACTAGATAGATCATTTTTTGTAAAGTTATAAATAAGCTCAATAATCATTAATGTTCAAGTAAATAACAAAATACTTAGGGGGTGATTGGATATGAATTCAACTAGTAAAAAACTAGTTTTTTTTTTTTGTTTTTATAACTATAGTTAAATTTGAAAAAAAGTAGTATGGATAGTTGTTAGTGGATATATTAAAATAATATTTAAATTCAAATAATTAAAATTGATTTGATGTAAAAGTAGGAGAAAATGATTGAAAGTGATGGTTAGTTAAAATTATGTGATTGGGTGAATAGTGAATTAAAGTTGATGTGAGGTGTAATAATGATTGGTTGATATTATTTAATTATATTGATAATATTGGAGATAGTGGAGTTGAGTTAAATTTTAATTTTGAGTGGGATATTTACTGTACAAATTATATACAATCACGCCCTTATTTACTGTACGTTGATAAAATTTTTATAAAATATTAAGACACAAACATTTAAGTTAATTATTAAAATTCTAAAAGAATGAAATCATTTTGATAAAGTAACTGTTGATATCCGAGTTGGGCCTATGTAAAAGTCCCGGTTCGGAAACAAGGAACCGGGGGAAAACGACCTAACCACCCAGATCGCTCTCCGAGTGACTTCTGAAGTGTCAGACTGACTGGGGAGCTATGTCAACGAGGACGACAAGCAACATCATCTCTGAGATCAGCACCCTGACCACCAAGTGGCGAGGCCGACCTGGGAATATGCCGAACAGAGGAACGTGGTCCCGGAGTCTAGGGGATGAACTAATGGTTAAAGTCCGATTTGAAGTTTCCCTCAAGTCGGCCTACGTACGAGTCGAAGATCTGGAAAACAATTAAATAATGTCACTTGACTGCTAATAATTGCCGATGGGATGTGTCAATCTAGCCTGCAGCCCTACGAAGTCTAGCCCGGCCTAAAGGTCTGTCTGCATTTAATGCAGCCCATACATGCATTTAATGCCTGACAAGTAGTGATTGAAGAAACCTCAAATCGCACCAATCTGTCAGAGCGACGCCGACATGTCCCGTGGAGCTACTGTGCGACGGGACAGGATGAACAGTGCTGAATTAAAGGCTACTATAAATAGAAGACCCTTCTCATTTATTTTAGGTTGTTGAAACCATCAACTACTATCTTCTATCTATATTTTCTCTCTCTAGTCTGTAATAAATTCCCGTAATGACGCTAAGTGTAACAAAAGTGCCGACCTGTAGCGCCCCGTCCGAATATTGGATTTTTTCGATTATTTTTTATTGGCATTATTATTATTATTTGAATTAATTGTCAATAATGTATTATTGCTCGACATCTTTCCGTTTAGGCTTATTATCATTTAATTAGATGTAGTCTAATTAATATAATAAGTCGTGTAATTTTATTTGTCGTCAATCGAATCGATCATGAATGTTTGTTATCGCGTTTTTCTCATCGAGACGGTTTTTCTCAATCGAGTTTTGAATTTGATAATCGGTTCAGTTTATCGGGAATATTTTCGGTCCATTCGGATAATGTCATTTCAGCCTTTGGTGTGCTTTTAAATTCAGCCCAAACGATTTAGTTTTTTGCCCATTTATTTTGAAAGTTTGGCTCACTTGGAAATTCTTTTTCCTTAATATGATTACGTATAATTAGATGAAATTAGTATTTTAACATGTAATATTTTATTATTTTTAATCTAAAAAAATATTATTTTTACTTGCACATCAATGTTATGTAAATTGCACTTTAATGGTAATTAAATTGCACGTTAATGTTATGAAAATTGCACATTGATATTCTTATCTAACATCTTTATTTATTTTGATTGAAAATATAATATTTTAAAAAAATATAAAAAAATAATATTTTTTATATAGTTTTCCCGTATTGATACATTCAAAAATATAGATGAATAGTATTATTTTTTCATAAAATAATATAAATATAAATAATAATAAAATAATTGGTGATATTTTATTTCGTATAGTTCGGGATGTTCAGTGATTTTATTTATTTAAAAAGACTAAAGTCGACATTTAATCAACTAATATTATTCGATTAGTAAAATTACTGAATTTTTAGTACGTGCAACGTCCTGTTCCGTAATGTGCAACGTGATGATATATAAAGTGCACTACTTTATATGATTACGTATAAATTATGTGTTTTTTGAAAACTAGCTTTAATAGATATAAATGTACATCGAATTAACCATAATTGTTTAAATAAGTTATTATTTATTACTATAAAATTTTATTTATTATTGTTATATTTTTTATATATTAAATTTGAGATATTAAAAATTTTAAACGTTTTACACCTTATTTATCATTAATATGCATTTATGAGTATATTGCTATAAATTAAATATTTGGTCATGAACTTAATTAGAAAAATACTCAAAACTAATAAATTCGAAAGATTGTCCCTCAACACTATCTAATTTTTTTACTTTTCTTTTGAAAAAAAAGACAATGAAATCCTAAATCCCTAATTTGAATTTCCAAATTTATTACAAATTTATATTTTAAAAATATACTGAAGATTTTAATATTTTTTTAAAAAAATTGTATATTATTATTTTTATTTATAATACATAATATATATATATATATATAAATATGTTTAAGAAATATATACAAAATAATATGTTTTGATATATTTTCTATAAATTACAGATTTAGCCCGCGAACTAAATTGGAATAAAGTTAAATATTTATGAATCCACACATTGACCCCAATGGTTTAATTGTAAATAACTAACACTCTTAAAATTTGCAAATCAATCCTTGTAACTTGTCAAATTTTCAAACACTAGTCCTCTGCCCACAAATAAGCTCCCGATCCATTCAGCCACCGGCGGCGTACTTCCGCCTGCCGCACCGCCCCAGTCGCTCATCTTTCGCCGGTGAGGAAGCCTATGAGTCATCGCTGGCGGGGAAGGCGAGCAGGAGGTTGCTGTAATTTTTTTATTTTTTTATTTTTTTGTTACAGACTGTAACGACGGCGCGAGAACCTGCTTGAAGTGGAGGTTGTGGGTGGCACTAGATGGGCCACCGGAGAGAATTCCGGGGGCTATGTCAGGTCGGTGGGTGTGTGTATTGCAGGGGAAGAGCTATGGACGGCGCATCTGGCGTCTGTGGCAGTGGCGGGATGATTGGCGTTGGCGGCGGTGAAGTGGTCGCCGGCGGGAGGGGCGGCAAGTTGTTCGCCGGCGGGAAAGACGCCAGATGTGGCATGTACCCGGTGGTGTGCGTCAGTATGTGTATGTGTGTGTGTGTGTCAGGGTGTGTATTTTGTATGTGTTGTGTGTGTGTGTGTGTGTGTGTGCGTTTGTTTTGTGTGTGTATATTATAAGGAGGGTGGTGACGTGGCGTGGTTATGTGGCTGGGTTAGTTGGATGAGTAATGGTAATGTCCATAATACTCTTATTGAATGTATAATTTGGCTTTTTTTAGCCATTAGGTCATACGATCTAATGGTCACGGTTTACGTTGAGGGGAGTGAAAAGACACCGTTCCAAGAGCTAACAACTATCCGTGCTTCCTATTTCTTTCACTGAGCACCATTCTCACTGGAACGTGACCCTATATATATATATATATATATATATATATATATAATGATTATACAAATAAACTGATATAGGAATAATTGAAATAACATTTATAAGCCAATAAAAATTAAGAAACATAAATTAAATACTTAAGAAACAAAATTAAATACTTAAGAAACAAAATACTAAAATACCAATTTCAGTCTACATGTATTAAGTTTGAAATTTGATGCACATATTTTTTACTTTATTTATCGACAAAGTAAATCTCAACATTTCATTTGTTTGTAAAATAAGTGCGATTGTGATCAAAGAATAACGTACTAGATAGATCATTTTTTGTAAAGTTATAAATAAGCTCAATAATCATTAATGTTCAAGTAAATAACAAAATACTTAGGGGGTGATTGGATATGAATTCAACTAGTAAAAAACTAGTTTTTTTTTTTTGTTTTTATAACTATAGTTAAATTTGAATAAAAGTAGTATGGTTAGTTGTTAGTGGATATATTAAAATAATATTTAAATTCAAATAATTAAAATTGATTTGATGTAAAAGTAAGAGAAAATGATTGGAAGTGATGGTTCATTAAAATTATGTGAGTGGGTGAATAGTGAATTAAAGTTGATGTGAGGTGTAATAATGATTGGTTGATATTATTTAATTATATTGATAATATTGGAGATAGTGGTGTTGAGTTAAACTTGAGTTTTGAGTGGGATATTTATTGTACAAATTATATACAATCACGCCCTTATTTACTGTACGTTGATAAAACTTTTATAAAATATTAAGACACAAACATTTAAGTTAATTATTAAAATTCTAAAAGAATGAAATCATTTTGATAAAGTAACTGTTGATATCCGAGTTGGGCCTATGTAAAAGTCCCGGTTCGGAAACAAGGAACCGGGGGAAAACGACCTAACCACCTAGATCGCTCTCAGAGTGACTTCTGAAGTGTCAGACTGACCGGGGAGCTAAGTCAACGAGGACGACAAGCAACATCATCTCTGAGATCAGCACCCTGACCACCAAGTGGCGAGGCCGACCTGGGAATATGCCGAACAAAGGAACGTGGTCCCGGAGTCTAGGGGATGAACTAATGGTTAAAGTCCGATCTGAAGTTTCCCTCAAGTCGGCCTACGTACGAGTCGAAGATCTGGAAAACAATTAAATAATGTCACTTGACTGCTAATAATTGCCGATGGGATTTGTCAATCTAGCCTGCAGCCCTACGACGTCTAGCCCGGCCTAAAGGCCTGTCTGCATTTAATGCAGCCCATACATGCATTTAATGCCTCACAAGTAGTGATTGAAGAAACCTCAAATCGTACCAATCTGTCAGAGCGACGCCGACATGTCCCGTGGAGCTACTGTACGACGGGACAGGATGAACAGTGAATGAACAGTATTGAATTAAAGGCTATTATAAATAGAAGACCCCTCTCATTTATTTTAGGTTGTTGAAACCGTCAACTACTATCTTCTCTCTATATTTTCTCTCTCTAATCTGTAATAAATTCCCGTAATGACGCTAAGTGTAACAAAAGTGCCGACCTGTAGCGCCCCATCCGAATATTGAATTTTTTCGATTATTTTTTATTGGCATTATTATTATTATTTGAATTAATTGTCTATATTGTATTATTGCTCGACATCTTTCCGTTTAGGCTTATTATTATTTAATTAGATGTAGTCTAATTAATATAATAAGTCGTATAATTTTATTTGTCGTCAATCGAATCGATCGAGAATATTTGTTATCGCGTTTTTCTCATCAAGCCGTTATTCTCAATCAAGTTTTGAATTTGATAATCGGGTCAGTTTATCGGGAATATTTTCGGTCCATTCGGAGTCATTTCAGCCTTTGGTGTGCTTTTAAATTCAGCCCAAACGATTTAATTTTTTGCCCATTTATTTTGTAAGTTTGGCTCACTTGGAAATTCTTTTTCCTTAATAATTATTAGGCCCAATTGAGTTATTTGTCTTTGGCCCGATTGAAGAAGCATCCGCAACTTTCTTTCATTTCGCAAGTGGGGAAATTGAGTCGTCTCTTTCCACCGGTTTCAAAATTCAGTCGCGATCGCACGACCTCGTCAGCCTGCTCTTATATCTCGGCATAGGAGTTCAGTCCCCATCGGATAAGCACCCTCTCTGTTTCATCTCATTCGCAGCAGTTTATTGAAAAAAAAAATTTAATCGCTACTGAACCTTTCTTCTCTGGCGAACTGCCATCCTCGCTGGCGTTTTCCGTCCTCTCCGAACAGCCCAAATTTTTCAGGCGACCACCATTATTTCAGTGATCATCCGGCGAGTCGTCTTCATCACCGCAAGCAGCCTGTCCGCCATAGCCGAAGAGCTCGAGCTGCCCTTCACTAGCAGGCCACCTTGAGCATCGATTCCGTTCGTCGAGTTCATCATCGTTTTCAATTTGCGAGCAGCCACCCCGGTCACGTTCGTCGAGGTCACCGTTCAAGTTTTCGAAGCTCCGTTCATTCCATCCCTTCGACCCGTTTTTTTTTCAGAAAGCTCGTAAATTCCCGAAGACGGGTAATCTATTCTGAACCCCCTTAATATAGTGTTTATGCTTGTTATTCATGTCGTCGACTAAATCGTGCTATGAATCGAAATCCTTGATGAAGTCGGATGTCGTTCGTTTTGTGTGTGTATTCGTTGGTATTGTGCATATTTTTCGTGGATGATTGAACTCTCGTTTTCGAAAAATATCAAGCCTTGCAGTTGAGTTTCATCTGTAAATCGAGTATCTTTGCGCGTTGCTGGGGTTATGATGTATTTAGAGCCTTATCATTTATTTTTTTTCCGAGTAGTGTCGTCGTCGTTTGTCGCTCGGTTATCTTGTTCGAGCCGTGTGTCTCTTTGTTTTCTGAGCCTTTATTTGTTGTGGCTAAATTTAATATTTTTCGGAGTCATGATGAAGAAAATAAAGGAACAAAATTTGATCTGAAATTATTTGGGAAAATATCTTCGCATCATCGTTTCACGTTCAAGCATGCACACATTTATAGTGGATAGAAAAAAATCCCTCAGCTCGCTCTAAACGGCGTCGTTTAGATTTATATCTCCTAACACACACAAAACGACGTCGTCCTATACTAAACACACAACACACCAATTAAAGAAAACGTCCCCACGCTTTTTACATCTGCAAATAAAAGAAACAAATGCAGCAAAAAAAACTTCGATCATTCTACACCCCCTCCTCAAGATGGAGGATGGCTAGCCAAAGCCATTCCCAGCTTGGACAACAAAACATCAAACCGCGCAGCAGGTAGAATCTTGGTGAAGATGTCAGCAATTTGAAGGCCTGTAGGAACATAATGCAGTTGGATGAAACCCTCCTTGAATTTATTCCTGACCACATGGCAATCAATCTCGAGATGCTTTGTGCGATCATGAAACACAGGGTTGGCCGTAATGTGCATGGCCGCATGATTATCACACCACATGGAAATAGGCACTGGAAATTGCAGCTGAAAATCAACACCTAACACATGCAGCCATTGTAACTCACAAACTGTAGTGGCCATTGCTCTGTACTCGGCCTCAGCCGAGGATCTAGACACGGTAGTTTGCTTCTTACTTTTCCAGGATATCAAATGAGTCCCAAGAAAGATGCAAAAACCAGTTATTGACCTCTTAGTGTCCTTACATGCAGCTCAATCTGCATCACTGTAGGAATGAAGAGTATAGAGAGGGTCTCTTTGATAGTACAAACCAAAGGTAGCAGTGCCTTTAAGATACTTCAACACCCATAATGCTGTCTCCCAATGCTTTGTCAAGGGATTGTTCACAAATTGGCTTAGTTGTTGTACTGTATAACCAAGATCAGGCCTGGTCAAATTCAAATAAAGCAGTCTCCCTATCAATCTTCTGTACTTCTCAGGTTCTATCATTGGGGTCCCTTCAAAGCTAGATAGTTTGAGCCCTTGTATCAAAGGTGTGGGAATTGTACTGCAAGTATCCATATTAAAATCCCTCATCATATCCATAATGTACTTTCTCTGGCAGAGGTATGTTGCTTTTGCATCTCTGAGAATCTCTACTCCCAAAAAGAACCTTGCTGTCCCTAGGTATTTGATAGTAAATTCAACATCTAAAAATAGCTTCAATTGTGACACAAAGTGTGGACTTGACCCTGTGATCAAAACATCATCCACATATACTAGCATGGCCATGTAGTCATCACCAAAGGCCTGAGTGACTAAGCAATGGTCCTGTGTAGACTGATGCAAACCACAACCAATCAACTTGCTAGTGAACTCACTATTCCATTCCCTTGAAGCCTGATTCAACCCATACAGACTTCTTAGCAATCTACATACCTGTCCATCCTTTGCCATGGAGTATCCTTGAGGTGGATTCATATATACCTCTTCTGTAAGATGCCCATGTAGGAAGGCATTATTCACATCTAATTGCCATAAGTTCCACTCCTTCATTGTTGCTAAGGCTATGAAGAATCTGACTGTGACTAACTTTGGCACTGAAGAAGAAACATCAAAGTAGTCCACCCCATCAACTTGATTGCAGCCTTTTGCCACCAACCGAGCTTTAAATCTTTCAACCTCACCATTTGCTTTCCTTTTGATCTTATAGACCCATTTTGATCCAATTGCTTTCTTACCTTGTGGCAAAAAACACAAACTCCAAGTCTTATTGGTTTCCAAAGCCTGCAGCTCAGTGTTCATAGCCTCAACCAATCTTTTGTCATCCTTTGCTTTCTCATAAGTTGATGGCTCCTGTTCTAAAACAATATTAGCTTGGAGAACTGAAAGAGATGTCTCATCCACAGTATCACATGCATAATCTTTCATCCAAACAGGTGGCCTTCTCAGCCTTCCCATTTGCTGTGGAACTGGTGAATCTGTAGTGTCTGCTTCTTCAGGTTGATCAGTATCCATAACTACTGGTAGTGGGATCTCAGGTGACTTGTCATCCATGTTATTTTCTTTATAAAGAAAACACTCTTGAAGAAAAACAGCATCTCTTGACACAAGTTACCTCTCTTCTTCAATGTCAAACAGTACATAACCTTGTTTTCTTGTGGATAACCAATGAACACGCATTTGTGAGATCTTGACTCCAGCTTCCCTTTTAAAGGTTTGGTATTTGCTGCATACACCAGGCAACCAAAAGGTCTCATTTTCTCATAGTCTGGTTGTTTGCCAAACACCCTTTCATAGGGAGTCTACCATTTTAAGGCAACACAAGGTAGCCTGTTGATTATATGTGCTGCAGCAAGTATAGCATAAGTCCAGAACTTTAAGAGCATCTCCAGTGTGGACTGTTGAGTCCACAAAATTTATGCCACATACGTAATTTAAACACCTTCTTTATTTTTTTTCTCTCCAATGCGCACTGTCTTGACCCGTAATTTTTTGACGTGGCGTGACTACTTTGTCAACCACTGTGTGGAGGTAGAAAGTGTCAATAACAGTGTGACTCAGCACAACCATGCCAAAATCTGAAGAAAACGTGGGAAAAAAAAATTGGGCGGAGAGATATGAGATTTTTCGCGGGCAATTGAGGGAGAATCGAGAACATGAGAAAATTCAAAGGGATTTATCTACAAGAATTCAGTTTATGTGAAAATCAGAAATCATCTTCTCCTTCATCATCTCACGGCAAACCAATCGAAGGAAAATAATGGCGGGCAAGAAGACTGAGGGAGAATCGATGGGTAGAGATTTTTTGGAGGGACGGGCATGATTTTCTTCTTTGGCATTTGTAGGGTTCTTAGAACACATGAAGTTCTAATTTTTGAATGACAAATTATTTCTACATGGACGAGTAGTCAGATTATTTCTGTGAATTGGTTAGTTTCTGTGAATTGTCTAGTTAATTTGCAAAAAGTGGATGTGCGAGTTTTAATTAAATATAAAGATGGATTCAGGCGGATATAAGTATCACAGTACCCTTCCAATTGAACATGATAGCGATCAACATAATTTTATTAGGGATATTGGATCTAGTAGTTCTGGGATAGCCAGGCTTATGAGGGATAAAAAGAGTGTTGAGAGAGTTGCAATTAAGTACATCAAGCAATGCATTCAAGTCAGTTTTGTAACTTTCTGTTTCTTGATAATTGAGTTTGTTTAACACTGTTTAATTAATCTTTAGTGCTAACTTCCTTCTAATTGGTGTGTATCCAGCATGCAGTATTATCATTGATTTAGTATATCATCTTTTACCTTATTTTTTCTCCCTCTACTAATGACTTTAAGTTTGTTTTTATATGCCTTTTTGTTTCCCTATGCATGTTTCTGATTAGATGTAGGTTGAATCTTACTTGGTAGTAATAGAAAGACATCATGATGTACTTGAAAATTTCTATCTTTGGTGTCTTCATAAAACTTGTTCCTCAGACTCTTTATGTAGGTGAAAGAATGATCAAAATATCTATTGTACAATAAAAGTTATGTCGGTAGTACAATGACATAACAAATGATTACTAATTTGATTACTAATTATTTTGGTTGGTTGCTAACTTGTCGCTTTTGATATGCAGAAGATGGACTCACAGGAATCTGGAAACAATTCAAGTGCCCAACATCCATGGAATTATACCATGCCAGCTCAAATCCTAAATGGTGTTCATCCAATGAATTTTCCATTTCAACAAGTTCTTCACTTTGATCCAACAAATAGAAATTATCATCTTCATGCCGATCAGCAACCTCGCATTCACCTTGATCCAATTAATGGATTCTCCTTCCAGAGTCTTTTGAATGCTCCAATGTGCAATACTCAAACTCGTGATGCAACCAAAGAACGAAAGAAGAGAGAAAAAGATACTCAAAATCATACCAACTCTCAATCTTCGATTGCAAAAAAGGACTGGTCAAAAGAAGAAGAGATTGCATTAACAAAAGCATGGTTATATGTTTCTGAGGATGCTGAAGTTGGTAACAATCAAAAGGGAGCAGCTATGTGGGATCGTATTTTAGAAGCTTGGAAAGGGAATATGGGGGTTACATGCATTACGGCTCGAAATAACAACAGCCTGCAACTCAAATGGTCTAAAATACAATTTGCAGTGAGCAAGTTTCATGCACAGTATGAGCGTTTAGAACGGCATCCACAAAGTGGTTCGAACTCAGATGATCTGGTACAAATGTTGTTTTATAATTTAATTTATCGAGAGAGATTAAATCTTGACTCATGTCTTAAAATGAATCTACATGAGCAGTCTCATGAATTGCTCTTTTATCATAAACGATATGTGGTCAAATTTATTAGGCCTTCTTAAATATTTTTTTTCATATATTCCAATGATAGCATCACAAAAACGTTTTAGATTTTCAATCGCCATACTTTCACCAATTTGTACATATTCATCAAGGAGATTGGCAACACAACCATACGCAAGCATACGTACAGCTGCAATCATTTTTTGTAAAGGACTCAAACCATGTTTTCCCACCGCATCGAATTTTTGTGTAAAATAGTCATCATAATTTTCAATCGCTTCTAAAATACTTTTGAATAACTCAATATCCATTCGAAATCGACGTCGGAAATGTTCAGGTGTATATTTAGCATTCTCACCTTTGAAGTAGTCATTGAGAATAAGCTCATGACGTTGTTCCCTATCACGACGAATATAGCGTCGACTGCTTTCTGTTCCACCATGAGGACGGTTTGTGTTTGTTAATACTGGGAACATTATCACAAGAATATGAACCGAGCATGTTTGAATGACATCAAAACTCTGAAAGAAAATATCATCTTCAGATGACTCATCTAATAATTTTTTGGTAAGTGAAAGTTCGTCGTCACTTGATGTGCTACAAGAATCTGATTCGTCGTATATTGAAATCATTACAACCTGCATTATAATTGTACATGTCGTTAAATAAATTATAATACAATAATAACAGTAACAATGAATTAGAAATAATTAAGAGACCAAAGAAATATGTGCTCTTGTATTTAGCATAAAATTTCTCAAATATGTAGATTTAATCTTACAGGGCACAACAAAAAGTTTTTTATTGAATTAAAAATTCAATAATGTGGAGTGAACAAAAATTGTGATGGCATGCTTTCATGATTTTAATTTAATTAAATAAATAAATTAAGAAGAAAGAAAACAGAAAATTAAATGAATTACCTAGAATTTGGAAGTAATCACAAGTTAAAAATAAAGTTCTATTCTTTTATTAACATGGTATATTTATAATGCTAGATGCAAAACAAACTTGCTATTTTTGTGAATCTTTTTCTTTTTTTTTTGAAAANGAGATAATATAATAAACCAAGTCAATCAATCCTGATTGAAGATGCTCTAAGGGCATCTCTCCTTGAAATAGTAATCATCTTGCTACTTCCAAAAGGTGCTTGTGTTTTCTTTCTACAACTCCATTCTGTTGTGGAGTGTAGTGACAACTCCTTTGGTGTTGAATTCCTCCTTCCTGTATTATTGTTTGGAGCTATTGGCCAATAAACTCCATTCCATTATCACTTCTCACAACCTTGACTATTGCATTAAATTGTGTTTTTATCATGGCCATAAATATCTTAATGTAGCCCACAGCCTCTCATTTAGTCTTCATGAGAAAAACCCACACTTCTCTACTGTAATCATCTACAACAGTTAGGAAGTATGAAGTGTCAGTTAGAGACTTTTCCTTACAAGGTCCCCAAATATCAAGGTGAAGGAGCTCAAAAGGCTTTGTTGTTTGGTTTGAGCTGACTGGGAAAGCTTGTCTATAATGTTTTGATCTAAAGCAAGTGTCACACTTCTTCAGATTGTGTTCACTAGCACGGTTACAATGTTTCTGAAGAAAGGATATGTGTTGCAGTACTCCATATGAAGCATGCCCTAATACTTTGTGCCATTCCTCCAAATTAGTTCTGCATGAGTTACTCATTTCTTCATTCTGAGTGTTATCTGCCAGAATATATAACCTTCCCTTTAAGTGGCCAAGTGCAACCACCTTACCTGTCCTTTTATGTTGCAGTACACACCTCCTTGAATCAAACCTACAATCCAGATCTGAACTTATGCAAAATTGACATATTGTTCTTCTTCCTGCAGTTTCCCCTTTTTTATTCTCATCTTTGTTCATTTCACCTAGGACTTTAGCCACCTCTTGTGCCAAAGCTGATATATCTCCTGTCATTCCCTTTTTATGACTAGTATCTCCTCTACTAACCATAATCACTGAAGTTCTCCCTTTCTTTTCATGGAATTCTTTACACCAATCAGGATACACATGTAGCTTGAAGCATGTGATCTTATCATGCCCATTCCAACCACAGTTCTCACAATGCAGCTTTGCCTTCTCTTCTTTGGATAATCTATGTGATCCTTTCCCTTTTCCACCTCCATAACCTGTTCCTTGTGGTCTGAGGTTCATATCTCTTCCAAATCCTCCACTTCTGACATTCATAGCAATGTTTGTATGGAGTTCCATTCCTTCAGTTTGTACTGACCTTTGTCTTTCAGCAGACAGGAGCATTGAATAGGCCTTATTCACTGTAGGTAGAGGATCCATTAGCAGCATCTGGTTTTTAACATGATCATAGCTTTCATTCAAACCCATGAGGAACTGCATGAGTTTATTTTGCATATTTTGTGTTGTAACCTGCTTCCCGATTTCACAGTTACATGCCAAGTGAGGCACCAAGCAATTATATTCATCCCACATCATTTTCAATTTATTAAAATAAGCCATAACTGAATTTGTTCCCTGCTTCAAATTAGCAATATCTCTCTACAACTGATAGATCAAAGGCCCGTTACTTTCCCCAAATCTCTGTCCAATTTTATCCCACAGTTCTTTAGATGTTTCAGCATAAAGGAATGCTGTAATGCCCCGTTTATTTGTGGATTATTTGGGATTTAGTATTATTATTATTATAATTATTATTATTGTTATTATTAATTGGTGATAATATTTATATTTTATTTTCTTGTATGCCATTATGTTTATTAATTGTCAAATGTGATTAAATGCTAATTGTGTAATTGTCTAATTGACTTTTTTTTTATTTATTTAATTATTATCGTGTATTATAAAAATATGGATAATATATATATACATTGTCCGGTTTATTTTTATCGCGCGTTTGCATTCGAAATCGAGCCCGATAATTTTCGTTGGAACCGAAATTGGCCCGAAAATGTCCGTTTAAAATTTTAATCAGGCCCGTGAGCTGATTTAATTTGCGAACCGAACCCGATAATCCGGCCCGAGCCGTCGCCCATTTTTTCGGGCTGACCCGCGACCCGAGATGGGCCCGGCCCGACATATTTTTCCTCCCCTTTTTATTTTCGAGTGTGTGTGTGTGTCTTGGTGTCAAAGACTTTTTAAAACCTAGTCAATATGTATGTATATATATAAGCGCCTGTATCTATCTCCCTCTTGGAGAAATCTCATCCGCCGCAGCCTCTCAATCTCTTCTTCTCTCGTCTAAGACAAGCCCGCCATCTCCATCAATCTCTCTCTCGCATCTCGTTCATGCAGCATAAGGAACAGAGAAATCCCTCATCTCTCGAAAACTCTCCCTCGCCATCACCTGTTCTCTGCGATTTTTCCTTTGCGCCACCATCTTCCTCCGTCGTGTTTCCGATCGCCGCCCACCTCCTTCCCTTCGGCCACCGCTGCTCAACCCAGCAAGGAGCAGTTCCCGCTGTCAGGCCCTCGCAATCTCCTCCGGCGAGTCCCTCTCCTCCGTCGCTGAGATAGAGATATCGTTGTTGTCCGTGAGAAGGCCCGACGACCTCTCCTCTCCGAGCCAGCAACTCCGGCGAGTGACCACCACCGCTCCTCCTCCGTGCACAGGCCTCCCACCATGACCAGCAAGATCCTCCGGCGACTCCCTGTTCACGCGCAGCAACCTCCGCAACTCCTCCTCGCTGTGAGAAGCTCCTCAGTCGCAACTCGCCGTGAGCCAACAGCAGCCCGTCGCTCGCTCCCCTCGCCATGAACCTGTGATTTCGGTGACCATCCCGACGAGCAGCGACCTCCGGCCGAGACCAGCAGCAGCGACGACCCTTCTTCGCGAGACGACGCTTGCCGTCGAGCTTGCCACGAGCTCGCCTTCTCTTTCGTTCCGTTTTTTGATTTTTCCCGAGAACGGTACCTAGTCGCTCTTGTCTTGTTTAAATCATTTTTATGTTAATTGCTTATCGTGTTTAAATGAACGTGATGTGCTTTTGCGATTCGATGTATGAGATGTGTATATTGTGCGATTGTGTTCGATATAATTTGTGTGTTCGTTATGATTTTATGTGTTATCGTATGTTCGGGACCTCTTCGATTTTTTTTAAAAAATCGAACGAGACCTCGAAACTTGTGTAAGTCGGTGGATATTGGAACAATGTCGAGCCCTTGGTCTTATGAAAAGGCCTCGGACGAGAAATTTTATGTTGTGATTTAATTGCCAAGTTGTCGAGTTTGTAAATTACTGTTTCGGTGTTTGAATTTTTAAAAATAGCTCGCTGCTCAAAACGATATGAAATTTTGAGGGATGTATTATCTGCTCATTGCCTGCCTTGTGTAAAAATTTCGTAATTTTTGGAGGCCTATAGCTATTTTTAATAATTAAATTGTAATCTGTCCAGAATAATGTTAAATGCATAAAACTTTCATGTCTGACTGAAATAAGCTGAAATTCGAATATGTCATGCCTCTGTGACTTATATAGGTTGTGTTAAAGGTTTAGAATTTTTTTGAGTTGATTTGATGTGGTAAATATTTAATTTATCGAATCTGCAGAAACGTTGTTTGAATTTTTATAAATTGGTTACTGCATGAAAATATCTGAAATTTTACTGAGAGGCCTATTTTATGTGTTTGATTATGTTTGTAAACGATGGGAAATTTTGGAGTCCGTTTTAATTCAACTTGGATTTAAATTTGATAAACTGCTGTTGCTCGTATGAATTTTTAAAAATAGCAGCAATTATCATTTAAGGCTGAGATTTTTATACATGAACTTTAGCATACTGTATGTTGCTGTGTAAAATTTTCAAGTTCAGATTCATTCATTAAGTCTGAGTATGAAATAATGTGCCCATTTGCTGATATCTTGTTCGAATTTTATAAAAATAGGGTATTTCGAGTTTAAAGCTGAAACTTTGTGGTTTTACATGTTTCTGGGAGATGAAATTTTGTGTAAATTTTCAGAGCTTAACTTGTAGGGTAGCTTGACCATCTATTTTCATGCGATTAAATGATTTCTATTTCCAAACATGATTTTTATATGAAATTTTGGGAATCAACTTGCTTTTTGTTTTTGATGTGAGTTGACTTGGTCAATCCTTAGATGGATTTGTGTAAACTCCCTTATGTTGTTTGGTCGAGTTTAGAGCCGAGTCTTAGTGTTCCAACATCCACAGGACTTCACGAACTACTTAGTCGAAACGAGTTCGACTAGGTCTGTCTTGTGATTTCTGATTTAAGTCGAGATAGATTCTGATTGTAGGATCTTGTCATAATGTAGGTGTTTAAGAGGTGTTGACCTCGCCTCGTTTCTGGATTTGTGATTCTGTGAAATGTTGCTGCTATCAGGTGGGTACATTTATGATGTATTCCATATTTATCGCACTCCTTATTTCGTGTAATATTTTTTTGAAAATTTTTGTATCATGAGAACTCTAGTCTAAGTGTCCCAAACTCTAGTGCCTTGATGAATGCGAAAACAGTAGGAGGTCGCCTGCCCGTTGTATCCGGGAGGGACGCCCCATGTCGTCGTATCCGGAAGGGGAAAAACATCTCTGTTGTCTCCTGGAAAGGATCCTGCGAACCGTTGTACCCGGGGGTGGGAATGTTTCCAGTTACAGCCATGCCGTTGTATCCGGAAGGTTGTTGTATGTACATAGGAGGTTTGCGATAGGGCTGGGTAAGGGGTTTAGGCTATGAATTCTGTGCATACCGATTTTGATACTATTTACTGTGATACTGTTTTTAAAAATAATTATGCGGGATAGCTGTGCGATAATGGTGAGCTAGTTGGTTGCTCACCCCCATTATTTTCTTTGTTGTTTTCTCTCTTCCTTGTTTTAGGTTGAGACGAGCTGGAGGCGGTGGCGTAGAACGAGCGAGATGGTGGTCACTGTTTGATGATATATTATGCTTCCGCCTGTTTATGATTTGTTGAACTGAAACTTGACTTGAATTATTTTCCCGCTTGGATTTGGATATTTTATTATGTGTTTATATCCCTGCTTGATTTCGTATACTGATTATATGTTGCGCATGTACTTGTTATTTATTTATTTGCTATCGTACTTTGGATTATTTATTTCGTCATTTTGAACTATGTTGAATTTGGTTTGAACCTTGATTTCATGCTAGTCGTTTGGGAATGATTTTGAGATTTATGATTATTGAGATTGTTATTTTGATAGCCTAAGCATGTGTAGGTTCATTGAATTGATTGATTGGGTGTGTTTATTTGTTGTGGTTAGTAAGTAGCGCCCGTTTCTCGATAAATGTTTTAACTTGGATTAAAAAAAAAAAA